GTGTGTGTGTGTGTGTGTGTGTGTGTGTGTGTGTGTGTGTGTGTGTGTGTGATGAGGGGGATACATGCCGCAGAACACATGTGGAGGTCAGAAGACACCTTAGAATACCATTCTTTTCTTGTACTGCTCTGGGCATCAAACTCAGCTCCTCAGGCTTTTGAGACACACAGCCTTATGCAGGGAGCTATTTTGAAGACCCTGGGTTTTTTGTTTGTTTGTTTGTTTGTTTGTTTGTTTGTTTGTTGAGACAGGGTTTCTCTATGTAGCCCTGACTGTCCTGGAATTCACTATGTAGACCAGGCTGGCATTGAACTCGGATATCTGCCTGCCTCTGCCTCCCAAGTGTTGGGATTAAAAGAGTGTACCACTGTGCCTAGCTTGGCTCTACATTTTATAAAGGAGTACACAAACATTAACAAGGGTCTCAATTTTACTCCCAGCACTGGTGGGAGGATGAGAAGCACCAGTTACTGTTTCCCCTTACTTCTAACTGTATAACAGGTTCTGGCCTGGACCCCACAGTCCCTGTTCTTAAGTGTTCCCATCTGTAAGGAGAAGTAAAGAACTATACCTTCCTTGAAGGGCTGGGCCCAGGACTGGAGATGGTGCACGTGGAACCCAGTTCATCATCTAGCCTATCGAAATGTTCAGTAAACAGTGCTTGCCATTTCTTATAGCCAACTAATGGAAGTTACTTTATCTGTAATAGACTTGTTCCACGTAGCTTCCTGTTCCCAAATTTCACCTCTTTTATGAGCCTCCATCTATAGGGGACGGAGAGTGTAGAGGACCTGCCAGTAAGCCTCCATCTATAGGGAAGGAGGGTTTAGAGTACCTGCAGGTAAACCTTCTTCAGTCCAGGCACATAGTCTGCAATGCGGCCAAAGAGAAGGCGTCCAACTCCAGAAGTGATGCCAATGCACATGAAAAGCACCTCCTTGTTCTTCTCGTCCTGGAATCTTTCCTTTACATGGTTCATCTGCAAGTCAAGGAAAGAAACCATGCTGAATACGGTAAGGAAACTTCACACGGTCTGAGACATGTACCATTAAACATCAAATGTGGTTTTCCTCTACAGTTACTCCAACCTCCCTTCAAGATCAAAATTAAAAGATTTTAAAGCATCTCCTGCGATAATTTTCAAGACCGTATAAAGAAAATCTACCGTGATTTAGCTTGCATGGAGGGAATGAGTTTTCTGAGTGTGGTGGCACACGTCTGTCAGCCCAGTCCTCAAACACTAGGGCAGGACTGAGAATGAAAGGCCAGCCTGGGCTACAGAGTACAGCTCAGGGCAACCTGGATCATGCAGCATACCTTGACTTAGAAACCGAAAGCTTTGTTTAAAAATGAGTTATTCCTATACTTATTTTTTTTTCAGTAAACATACCAGCACACACTAACAATAAGCCAATCATCAAAGAAGAGCAGAGGCCTGGAACACTACCTGCCCCCTAGAAGGGAACTGAAGGTCATCTTTGGGGTCCTATTCCTTCCGGGGGACCAGAACAAAACCGATGCCTATGACCAGAGCTTCCTGAATGAAAGTGTAAGGTTCCTGTGTGGCATGTCAAAAGATATAGATATGCAAACGGTTTACAGTGGTCAAATCTCTTAGACCTCCAGATCCAAGTACTGATTCTAACCTATCAACCCCTGTGGCTGAATTATTTTTTTAGGATCTCAGTTTGTCTATAAAACAGTGACAGCATCTCTCTCAAGGGTGGTTATAAGGATTAAGAAAAATGTCTACATAGAGAATTTAAGAGTTAGGGTGTACTTAAGCCCCGGTCAAGCTTGTGTGAGGTCCTAGGTTCAAGCACCGCCTTAGAGGAATGACTGGCATACAGTTAATGATCAGATACTAATGTTGGCCATCCTTCTTACAAAGGACCTTTTGAATGCTGGCTATGCTGAAGAGAAGATGGGGGTGGGGAGAATAAAGGGTCTTTGCCACCACTTAACGCCTAGTGGAAACAGTGTCTCCAGTGACTCTGGGCCACAGACAGGCAGCAAGCATAGTTTGACTTTCCCATAATGACCCTAGCATGCAGTGGAGTTCTAGGAGACTGCAAGCCAATTTTCCACCAAGTTCAACAGTCCAAATAACTAATATGGCAGTGGGGTCTTTTTTAGACGGCAGATCCCTCCTTAAGATGCTTCCATTTAACTTGCTTTTTCCTGCTTTTCCATTTTTAAAACCCAGTTCTCTGTTTTTACACCACCTCGTCTCTTTTCATTAAAAATTGGTAATTGGGGCTGGAGAGATGGCTCAGCAGTTAAGAGCACTGCCTGCTTTTCCAGAGGACTTGGGTTTGATTTCCAGCACCAACGTGGCTGTTTAGAGCTGTGTCTAACTCCAGTCCCAGGTGACTGACAGTCTCTTCTGGGCCTCTGTAGGCATGTGTATAGTGCACAGACATACATGGAAGCAAAACACTCACACATATAACAATAAATAACTAAAACTTTTAATTAAAAACGGTGACTTTTTTTCTAACTTCTGTTTTCACACTGCTTCAGAATAATCTTCCTAAATAGGACTTTAATCTCACCAATCCTGTCTTCAAAAGTTGCTAGTTACTGCATTTTATACTCTGTCTGGTATTTAAAGCTCTCTATAATCTGTCACTAATCTATTTTTGTATGTTTATTAACTACTGATCCTTGGCTCTGAAGTAGAAAATTCAAGTCTGCTGAGGCTGTAAAAGGTGAAGCAGATGCATGCAGAGAAAAGACACACATCCCAGAGGACTGTTACTACCCGTGTTCTCAACACTTCCTCCCAGGCCTTTTATGTAAAAATAAATAAATAAATAAAATTTAGAAGAAATATAAAACCTGGGACTTGTGTAGAAATGTTGGCACCTAACTTAAATTTAGAAGACTGTGTGATCCAACGCTACCCAAGCCAGACAGAACATGGCTGCAAACTGCGTTAGGCCAGCTTTGATCTCAGTCTTAATCCCATCCAGATCAGCAGGGAAGCTGTGTTCACAAGGTGGATTGCGTTGCTAATATGTTCCCTCCCCTCCACTGTATTGAGCAACTGAGCACTAAAATATGGCAAGTCTAAGCTGAGACATGCTATGAGCACAATCGTGCAGAGAACCAGAGGGGAAGGCATGCAAAGTAGCCTAGTATTGAGTATCTGCTGAAACAATACTTCAGCCATATAGCCAAGTACTAATTTCATTTCTTTCTCTCTTTCTTTCCTCCTTTCTTTCTTTCTTCTTTCTATTTTACTACAATAGGAAAAAAAATTTTCTAGTTTAAAGCACAAAAAGTGGCTTGGATCATATTTCTTAAAGAATTCACTGGTAGTGGCAGGCACACTGAAGGGACCAGGAACTAGCAGAGAAAGAAGCTCGTTCTGGAGAAAAAGGGCCAATGTAAGACAGATGTGCTATAGTGGGGTGCATTAGAAAGCACCCAGTGGATCTCTGCCTTCTCCATCCGTGCGGAGGAGCGAAGCCAGGGCCTCAGTATGCTAGGACGCACTGTGCCTCGGACCGCTGTCGTTATAGCTGTCATAGAGACACACTTTACCTCGAAGACTGAATTCTTCAGTTATTCTTCTGATGAAACTAAGAATACCAGCCTGATATACTTCTATCATTCTTTGAGGTTTTTACCTTCCCCATCTATTTTGTAATGTTTATAAGAAATAACAAGGGAAATATTTGAGGTTTTTGTTGAAAGAGGCTACGTAACACAAGTGTGAATATGCTAGAAGTGCACAGAACACTAGATGTGTACAAAATACATTCGTATTTTGTACAATGAATATACATTGGCCATTTTAAAATAAATTGGTGAAATTAAAAGTATGCCTAACTGGAAACTTAGCTCTTTAATAATAAAGGACACTGCTATATCAAATCTGTGTCACTGTCACTCAAATAAAGCAAAAATGTCAACTTCTAAAACTTCCTCTATACATGCTCTACCAAAACTTCAAAATAAAAGTATTATTTTGAAAGTATTAGTTGAGGAAGTGTGCAGGATAGGTGACCTCACTCTGTGGATGCCGGGTCTCAGGGTCCTTCCTCACTGAGGAATCAGTACCAAGCAGGCTTGGCCTGAGCCTCGGATGAGCTGTCTGGCTTATGGAATTATGCCATCTCTCCTCTCTGGGTACCAGCATGTGCTGCTTCACACAAAGCACAGCACAGGGCCAAACTGCTATTTCTAACACTCACGTGGGCAGAGACTGGACACCGGGACAGATACTTTCATATTTAACCAAAGTCCTCATTTATTAATCAAACAGAAAGCTTATACTGGAGCCTAGTATTTCTCCAGGGGAATATTATTTTTAGTTCAGCTGTTTAAAATTAACTTTATTGGGAACAAGAGGTATAAGTTCAGTGATAGAACAGACTTAATCTGTAACACCAATAAGTATCTTTTTAAAGGGTCTCACTATGTGGCACAGATTGACACTTCAAACTTCCAGTCCTGCTATCTTGGCCAAACTTGGCTTAAAACATTAAAAAAAAATATTGTGTGAATGTGTATAGGGGTGCACACATACCACAGCATATGTGTGGAGGTCAGGGGACAGCTTTCAAAACTCAGTTCTCTCCTACCACCATGTGGGTTCTGGGGATGGAATTCAGGTCATCAGGCTCGGTGGCAAGGCCTTTACCTGCTGAACCATCTCACGCTGGGCTTTAGCTTTAGACTTCATCAGAATGCATAGAGATTTTTAGGGAAGACGCATATCTTTATTGAGATCTCAAGTTTAATCTGGAAACATCTTAAACACCGCCTGCTCATAGACATTGCTCCATTGCTCAAGCGACAACAGCTTTGGCTGACCACAGAGGCAGTTTTCACGGTGTGTGAAACTTACTGTTTGATATCCAAAGACAACCGAGAACTCACATCCTAGACTATGAGCTCATTCTACATCCATGAGTCAACAGGACCAAGTACTTTAGTTTCCCCTTCCTCTAACCACCTTCAACTAAATGGTGGGCTTTTCCTAGAATCGATGACATTTTTCTACTCAGACAACTGAAGGCAAAATAGATCCCATTTTCTCTGAAGAGGTCAAGGGCAGCGGTCTGAGAAAACCACTCCTCTCACTAGAGCAGCCTCTGCTCTGGCACCCTTCCCCACACCTCTCCTGCAGGGGAGTCACAGGACAAGACACACGGAGTCAGGGCACCTGACACAGAGAACATGGCAGGGTGCTTTGGCTCTCGGAGAGTCAGTCATGAATAAACTAAATGGAGAGCCATTGCACAACCCAGCGGCGCTACGGTGAAATACAGTAGTTGTGCACACCTGCAAACACAAATGCCATGGGCCAAAAGGGTCCAAACAGCTTCCTCATCTGTGCTACTTAGCTATGAAATGAGATCACTAGCAATCACTTACCCTCCTACACACACACACACACACACACACACACATAAGCACTTTTAAGGGCTCAAGTGCCTTTTGCCTATAATCTTCCATATAATGACTATATGACATGTCACGCAAAGAATACGATAAAATGGCATATATAATTTAGACTATATTTTGCTGAAGAATAAAGACGGGAATGAATGACTGGAGACCTTCCAAACAGAGAAAACAATTTGGACAGCAGCCTTGAACAACTGACTGGCTCACCACAAAGTGGAGGGTAAGGAAACAGCAGACTGCGAGAATAAAAGAATTATCTTTGCAAAACACAGCAAAACAATTAAAAAAAAAAACAAATTCTCCAATTCTTATCATTTACAGTTGTTGCTCCTCAATGTGCTCTCCAGAATTAATAAAGAGATTTTGATCACCTACCACATTCTGTCATGTCTGTGGCAATTGTGATTCCTTGGTCATCTATCTGCCCTTGCTCTTTGACACACACCATCAAACTGGAAAGAATAGGTAAGCATGTACATTCGCTTAATTTCTAGAATTAATTCTTTGAGGAGAAGAGGACCCGTATCTGTAGTTTGCATGGCATTAAAACTTGGCTTA